TAATAATGAAGAAGGATCTCCAACTTGGACCTTCCTCTCACACCTCTACCTCCCAATGAATCAAACACTGTGGTGATTATGATCAAAGTCACTTTCCGGTTCTTGCTATTCTTCTTCTAAATATAGCTTATGCAGCACAACTGGGCTTAGGCAACCTGGAGAATTTATGTGGATATATGGAACTTCACACATCATCTTTTCCTGGGATTTTATTATACTGATGATTTTGAGAATTGTCTGTAACAATAGTTCATATACTTTCAAGGGTGTCAATTGCTCAATTGTGTATATAAATCATACTGTGTGCATTTGAGACCTTCATGAGTAATGCTATCACAGATGCTATAAAATGTACATATATTTTTCTCTTTGGTACATGATGCAGCAGAATTGCTAGCGTCTATGCAGTTTCTAGAGATGTCACAGATTTCCCTTTGCTGGGCATCTTCCAGGTTCACCATACAGACTCTCCACCGGGAGGACCGCCCACTTCCCCACCCCACTGTCCAGACTCTCCATCAGGAGGACCGCCCACTTCCCCACCCCACTGTCCAGACTCTCCATCAGGAGGACCGCCCACTGCCCCACCCCAGCCTGCTCTTCTTTTTCTGTTTGGTTAGGAATGAGCTGTCTTCTTGTGCTTCTACTTCAGATTACTCCAAATTCTAAGGACTTAGATATTCTTAAACTTACAACACATATGTAAATTTTTTCATAAGTGGCAATTCAAATACCCTGCCTTTTCTTGAACTTAGAATCGTTTTAGGATTTTTGCAGTCTTTACTTATTCTAGAAATGCTCAATATGAAGTCATGTGCACAGCAAAGACCTTATCAATGGTTTTACATTAATTTACTAGACTACTCATTCCTAACATAAAGTAAGTCCTCAGCTAATTAAATTCCTTCTTTTCTTATTCTGCTTTCGTGCTTGTGTTTTTCTAGTGTGAGGTCACTGACATAGCAATTAGTATCTGCTATTACTAAAGTTTCATTTACAAAGTCTTTGATATTTGTGTTATGAATTCACCCGAGTCTTCTGACTGAAACTGCATGACATCATTGTGAGAAGGTGAGCAACATGCTTTCAAAAGAGGTAATAGGACAGAACTGGCTTAGTGATCTCTTTCAGGAAACTTGAATTGGTCCCCAGCACCCGTATTGTGCAGCCCATATGGCTGTAACTACTCCAGCACCTGGGAGTTGGACATTCTCTTCTTGCCAGCATGTGTGCATACAAACATGCAGATACTTATATACACGTAAATAAAATAATAATTATTATTTTTATATGAATGTAAATTATTGTTTTTTTTTAATTTTTTATTAGTTACATTTTATTAACTCTGTACCGTCTGTATCCTGCTCCCTCATTCCCTCCCAAACTCTCTCTTCCTCCCTTCCTCATCTCCTCCCTGTCCCTTTCCAAGTCTACTGGTAGGGGAGGGCCTCCTCACCTTTCATCTGACTCTGGTTTATCAGGTATCTTCAGGACTGGCTGCAAAGTCCTCCTCTGTGGCCTAGCAGGACTGCTCCTCCCTTGGGGGATGGGGAGGTCAAAGCGCCTGCCATTGAGTTCCTGTCAGAAATAGTCCCTGTTCCCCTTACTATGGGAAACCAATTGGTTACTGAGCTACCACAGGCTACATCTGAGCAGAGGTTCTAGGTTATATCCATACATGGTCCTTGGTGGAATGTCAGTCTCAGAAAAGACCCCTGTGCCCAGATATATTTGGTCCTTGTGGAGCTCCTATCCTTTCCACGTCATACAAACTCCCCCTTCTTTTATTTGGTTCCCTGCACTCTGCTGAAGGTTTGGTTATGAGTCTTAGTATATGCTTTGATACACTGCTAGGTAGAGTCTTTCAAGGGCCCTCTCCTGTCCTGTTACTTGTTTTCTCCTACATCCAATGCACATCCCATTTGTCTTTCTAAGTGAGGATTGATCATTGTACCCTGCGTTCTCTTTCTTGCTTATCTTCTTTAGGTGTATAGATTTCATTATGTTTATCATATCTTATAGGTCTATATGAGTGAGTATATACCATGTGTGTCTTTTTCCTTCTGGGATACCTCACGCAGAATGATCTTTTCTAGATCCCACCATTTGTCTAAAAGAGCATAAATAAAAAAAAGAGAGAGCAGAAATTTTACTAAGCTAGCATTATAACACTTGTTTAAGCAATGATACTATGCTTTACATTTTAAAAAGGGAACCTGTAGGGATGCTCTTGCAAATACTGATTTCTTTAAGTGTTAGTCTAATTTTTATGCTTTTGTCAGTTTTTCTATTTAAAATGTGGAGACTACAAATATAAATGTTCAAAATTTCAGAAAATTTTATACATTTGGCTGAACTAACTTGTGACTTTGTTACACTCTACCTCTGATTGTACAGTTTCCCTCATTGGAAGGGAGTATAGGTACAATAGCATCTTTGTTATCATTTAACCTTTACCATGTTCCACCATTACTCAGAGTCTAATGACGTCACAAGGAGGAGAAGGCAAAATCCTTTCATAAGCCAATCCCACAACCGCAAATTTTCTCCCTTACTCTGCTTTCCCTGTGCATTTCTAGGATCTCTTTTAGCTCTTGGAGTAGTTGGAACAATCCCAATCCTCAGGCAAGATTCAAATCATCTAGCTTGGAATGAAGAAGGGTTCAATTTATTTAGAGCTATTGGAATTTCAAGCTGAAAAACAGAATTTAAGCCACCTTGCTATTATGCAAAGCTTTCTATTGACTGTCATCTGTTTTATGGCTTAAACAGAAGAGTGGTTGCAGATGACAATTTTTGTTTGTCAAAACTGTGATTGCTGGAGAAAAGCTTAAATCTTTTGAGAAAGAAAGGATCATACAGTATTGGGAAACAGTCCAGATTTAAAATGTGAATGCACAGACATTTCAGTTCAAAAGCTTGACTGTAGATATCCCTGGGATGCCACAACTCGAATTTAAGCTTGCCCTAATTATTGTCGTCGCATCTTGAATTTCTTCTTTTTAAACCATTAGGATATTTGCATATCAATGGTCTCATTAAAAAAAACCTCCTGTCTCTGTCCCTAGACCTAGGTATCACTCAATTCCTTGTGAGAGATGGTGAGCCTTTCCCACCAGGTCTGCTACTCACACCCCATTTCTGTATTGAAGTTCTTTCCACAATGCTTAGCTAAATAAATGCTTAGATAAATAAATGTATTTATTTATCAGTACCACCTGCCTGATAATTCAAGTTTAAGTTCCACAGAGCAAGAAATCTGATTAAAACAAGAGATATTTGGTTTTTGTCATCATTAGGCTCATTTTATGACTATATCTTTGAAATCTAGATCTCTCAAGATTTACCTGAAAGAACGGATGGATGGAAATATAGATGAAAAAAGAGTGGGTTTCTGGTAGTAAAACATGCATAAAAGCAATTAGATATAAATCAGTAGCAAGACTTACTTTCATATTAAACATAATAAATCTAAATCCGCCAGGTGATTAGACTTATTTATATATAATGGTTACTTTTCATACACACAAAATGACCTTCTGTGGAGGGACCTAGATCTTCCACTAGCAGATGGAAATTACTCATAGCATAATTTTGTTATACCTTATTTCAGAGTTGGCTTTACCTATTTGGGTTTTTTTTAATGTCAGTCAAATATTCAGTTTTGAATAACTGAATATTATATGTCAATGTACCACTTATGTGTGTGTTTGTGTGTATATGTGGAGGAAGAAAGAATCTTACTTTCAGGGTAAAATATAAAAAGAAGCCATTCAGATATGCCATTTTGTATACATTGAATCCCTAGAGAAATATTCTATGACTTCCTTTCTTACAGTAAACTGTCAACTTTAGCAATTTCTATACTCAGAAATTCTTCCAAGTACTGAAATCTTATTTTGACAGGCAAGATTCATTAGGTCAATGGCTTGTGATAGAGTTAAATCTATTAAATCTAATGTTGACTATGTTCAACTTGTGAATAAGTTCTTGCTAAATATCATAATTACAACTATAAACTAAAGCCAAAAATCTGCTATCTACTTTTTCCTGGTGAGTCTTAACTCGAAAAGGATGGCTTTGTATAAAATTACCTTAAATTAGTAAAAATGCTAAAGAAAAAAATGCCATGTGGTAAAAGATGTTTTCATCTGATGGATAGGGTGTGTAATTATGCCAAGCTGGCTGCCTGACTAAGGCATTGGAAACCAAAGAATGGACCAGCTGGAGATTAATGCGGCTTCTAGAGTTCTGGAAGGAAGGAGCATTTTCTATAAGGAGACCCTGAGGTTGCCTTTTAGCCAGGTTGCTGAGGCAACCAGCTTGTTTAGAATGGGTTTCTGAAAGAGAAAGGGGAATTCTCAGTTCTTAGATAGAAGGTTCAGTTTCAATATAGAAGGTGCAACATTCCCAAAACCAGGGCGGAGCTTGCAGGAATGTCAACTGGTAAGGAACAGACACTTGGCCGGGAGGCTGTCTCCAAGCAATACATTTTGTCATTAAGCAGCCCAAAGGAAAACTATATGACATTCAGATTCAAAGGAATAGAGCAACCCCCACCTTCCACAAAGGACTCACAAACATCATTCATTAATTGGTTCTCATTCCCTTGGAATGCAAAAACATTAAGTTGACTAATATATTCATGGGCTTCTCTTTCCTCTCCTCAAAGGTTTTAACACCTTCCATTTAAGCAAAATAAAACTTTTTCATAACATACTTTTTTCCCTCTTAGAAGTGATTTTCTAGTTCCCAGCACTCATTTTTGTTGTTCATATCAGGAAATTCTCCAGCATACACATTTATTTTTATTTTTATTTTTATTTTTTTATTTTTTTACCAAGGAATATTTTTATTCTTAAATTTATGCATGCATTTTCATTAAAATCTTGTAAAAGATATAAAATATTGATATTGGTTAATATAGGTAACAATTTTTTTAACTTTTATTAATTACACTTTATTCACTTTGTATCCCCCCATAAGCCCCTCCCTCCTCCCTTCCTAATCCCACCCTCCCACCCCCTTCTTCATGCATGCCCCTCCCTAAGTCCACTGATAGGGGAGGTCCTCCTCTCTTTCCTTCTGATCTTAGTCTATCAGATCTCATCAGGAGTGGCTGCATTGTCATCTTCTGTGGCCTGGTAAGGCTGCTCCCAGCTCAGGGGGAGGGGATCAAAGAGCAGGCCAATCAGATTATGTCAGAGGCAGTCCCTCTTCCCATTACTATGTAACCCACTTGGACACTAAACTGCCATGGATTACAACTGTGCAGGGGTTCTAGGTTATCTCCATGCATGGTACTTGGTAGGAGTATGAGTCTCTGGGAAGAGCCATGTGTTCAAATTTTCTGGTTCTGTTGCTCTCCTTGTGGAGTTCCTGTCCTCTCCAGATCATACTATTTCCCACTTCTTACATAAGATTCCATGCACTCTGCCCAATAGTTGGAAGACATCACAATCCTGAACATCTATGCCCCAAATACAAGGGCACCCACATTTATAAAAGAAACATTGATAAAACTTAAACCACACATAGATCCCCACACATTAATAGTGGGAAACTTCAACACCCCACTCTCAACAAAGGACAGGTCAACAAAACAAAAATTAAAC